GAATAATCCACACCCGAATCGCTAAACCTTAGCTGAGTTACGCTTTGGCCGTTTCAATTAAAAGTTGAAACCATACCGTTCCAAAAAGAAACAACAATTGAACACCTATAGCTACACTCGTTGTTCCTGGCTTATAACAATCTATCAATCGGGAAAATTGTGTAAAGGAAAATTTAATTAATGTGAGAAATTGTTCATACTGCACTGACGCTAGACTGATGACATTAGATGATGACAATTTTAAAATAAGTAAACTGTTGACTTGTATAAAATGTTACATAAATCATAAGAGTAGTTTGGCATAGATAATCATGTACTTCCTAAGAATGATAAAAATATGTTTAAAAAAGTCATAAGATTATTACAATCTGTAATTGCACTTACTAATTAATGTCATTTGTAGATTATTTTATGGCCTATATTGCGTCATATTAAAGTTGATCGTAAATATTAAATGTTAGCAACTTAAGCTTTTCATATAAAATAGATTAAGTTCCATTTATCATTAATGTTGCATTATTTTATGAAAAGGTGAAAATTATGTCATGAGGTCAACTAACTATTACAACAATAACAAAAAACCCAACAATATTTCAATGGTTAAGGTCAACTGAACTAACACTCAAAAAATTGTCATTCAGCCCTGGTGAATAACTTGAACAAAAATATCAGTAATATCAATAGTTGAGATCATGAGTAAATTGAAGCTAGACCACCATTGAAAACCTGAAAGCACTGGACGGCCGTTTTGTCCTGGTATGGGACTGCTGAGGAGTCCCATACCAGGACAAAACGGCCGTCCAGTGCTTCCAGGTTTTCAATGGTGGTCTAGCTTCAACTGACTCATGATTTCAACCTGTGAAATTTCTAAAACTCTCCACAAAACCCATTCTGATAATATATATTAACTATTGAAATTGTTTAGTAACCACTGATCTCCGTAATAACAGTACACATCAGCTTAAATAACAATTTTTAAAAAAAGTATTAGGCTTACTAAGCTGATAAATTCAGGTATTTTATGATGCAATTAAAATTAAGTACATCTAAATTTCAATTTATACAGTTGACTTCAATTACATCTGAAAGTCTTATTGAGAAAAGATCATCATATATCAGACTTAATCTGTGTAATTTTACTTGATAATATCTACATTTTCGATTACTTATCGAAATAAAGAATCTTTTTGTATCCATTTAGCATGTTTAACAGGTAATTGAAATCATCTTAAAAATGATTTCCGATTGGAATAATACACAACTCTGAAGTATACCATAAGTAATTAATAAGTTTATTCAAAGACTGGTGAGACTATAATTTATGGACGACCATTGAGCGACGCCAAAGTGACCTTGAGAGTGTTCATCTATTGACTAGGATTAAATGAGGGTTTTAAACCATTGTAAGGAATTGAAATTATGACTTACAGTTGATGGTTAGTGTTAGGAATTAGATTTAGGGTTTTCATCACGAACTGACATCAGCTATAATGCCAAAACTCTATTTAGCCAAATGGATGGGTGAATTTCGTGCCAAAATCCGAGACCTGTTATCTCATATCCAATTGGTTCGTCCATAAATTATAGTCTCGCCCAAAGACTTAAAGAAAAACTGTATGTCTTAAGGAAGACAGTAAAGAATTAATCAACTGCAATGTTTAGTATTTAAACTATTATAAACATTTGTAATAAGAAGACGAATATTACCAGAACTATGTGAAACAAACAGAATCAAATGACCCAATGAGAGTAGAGGATAAACATCTATCATCCTCTGTTGCTAAACATATAATCGAAACAGGCCATATGATTGATCTTAACTCGGCTTTTGTGGTGTTTCACAAAAGTGTAAAAGGGTGTATACTAAGGTTTATTGAAACCTTATCCATAAGAAAATTTATGCCCCCTCTGTGTATTCAAAAACACCTTGTTCTTACCTTAAACCTACCCTGGTAATATTAGCTTATTATTATATATCACATAGTTCTAATAATCATCTTCTTATTACACTGTTGAAATTTATCAAAAGGGACTAATTGCTATAAACATTTGTATTGTCATTATGAGATTATATAAAAAATTAAGATAATCATTTTATCTTATTGGCTAATTACAACACAATTGCTATTAACATTGTGTTAGATAAAACACATGTGTACGTATAAGGGAACCCTTTGTCATCTACTTTATACATTGAACCATATTATTCCCAGGTTCATAACTGACAAAAAATATCAAATACACAGATAACTTTTCCAATCGTAAATATATGCTGGGTCAATGTGTTTTATCTTGTGACCGCAGATTAGAGGGCAGTGACTTATCAATCGGATCAATGACGCGTAAACCCGTTTGACCAGTCTAGAATCTTGGCTGGTCCTGCTTCCTGCCTAGCCCAGTCAGTTAAGTCCAGAACACCAATCCGAGCCTCTGCGATATGAATCATTATATTTCAAATATACTGAATTTATATATCAATCAAACAGACCACAACGTACCAATAAAATATGAAACAACATTTGCACAAGAATTAGCCAGATGTGGCTGTGAATGAGGGAGGTAGTAATTAATATACTGGGTACAACTCAAGAATAGTAAAACGTATAATAATGGTTTATGGGTCAACACAAAGTTTATAATAACAGGAATATGAATATGCATAGTTTAGTTACTTAATAATTATACAATAGGAATATACGTTTAGTATTGGTCCGTTAATGGATCCCAAAAGTTACCATTCATTATTCTTGTCGGGACATAACACAATGGCATATAATCGACAGTGAAATTACTTATCAACTATCTAGTTGACTATAGACTATGATACTCAAGAAAATAATATTTCGTTTATTGTTGATACCTTTTTCAAATAACAAAAAAACACCTCTACATAAGAACTTTCGTCTAAATTTGATCGAATAGTTTCACAGTATTTCGGCATCGAGTTGCTGTGAGACATTAAAGAGGAAGAATATGTATTTGTAAAATATCAGCGAATGAATTTGAGGTAAATCCAACGTTATTTTCTTGAGAAAGCTTAGACCAGATTGCCAGGCGAAACGTTGAATTTACTTCAAATTCATTCGCTGATATTTTACAAACACATATTTTTCTTTTTTAAAAGCACCTCTATATTATTATTCGCAAATATCCGGTCCGATTGTTTGAGAAAGCGCAGTTACTTAGATGGGTATATTTTAGTCAATATTGTAAACATTACAAGGGTGATAATCAAAAATTAAGAATAAAAACTGCTAAAATAAAGAATGATGTTACTATGATTAAGTTAATAGTAAGGGTGAGGAACGTTCAGAATGGTCGTATATTTAACAAACAAAATCGAATTGTGACTATTAAAGATTAGACAGAGGAAATAAGGAAAGAAAGATAGCCATGAACCGTGGTAGCATGAGGTGAACCAAAAGTTTTCTCTGTATTCATAGATTTAGATTGAGACGAAAAATAGCTGCTGTGGTAAGATCATATCATACCGACGAATTTTAGGGCCCTGAATATGCGACAGATATTTATAGCTGACAACACTAACCAGCAACATCTTCTATAATTGAACCGTCCCCATCCAGTGAAATCAAAAGTTAGAAGCGAGGAGGTTTGAAGATATATTTGATAGGTTATCAATACATCGAGAAGTGACTGATCTAAACCGGCTAGCGATTGTAGGAGAAGTTGAGCACGACATTTCCTCCTGTGATCTGGTGCGGATGCGTGACTGAGTTGTTTCAGCTAGGTGAGTCCATTACAATTAATGTGGTCAGCATCAAATTTTGAAGACTTATAGAGCTATTAATTTTTGGGATTTATTTACCGCTACAGCCCAATCACATTTAAGATGACGTCCATTGGACTTCAAAGTTCGAAACTCGGCGAAGGACAGCAAGTATTTTATTTTATTTTTTCAAAAATAAGTAAAAATTGTCTATTATTAGTTCCTGAAATGCTTAAAATTGTCAAACGTATATTCTGTACGGCTACATGGTGAATGTGACATAGTGTTTAAAGTAATTTCAAGAAATACTTGGTCCTGACACTGATAGTGTAGTGAACAAGAACACGAGTGGGGACAATCGAATGTATTTGACATGAAATTACAGAGCATCTCACTGAAATCTGAGAACCATATAGTAAATAGTTAATTTGCAAAATATCAATCCATCGTCTGAAACTTGACTGTTCCCTTTACAAATATCAGTCCATTGTCTCAGATTTCATTGTTTATACATTTTCATACTAATTGCGTTCTTTCCTTATCGATCTTCTACTGAAATACATTCTATGTCTGACCACCGTTATATACTACTTATGTGGATTTAAGTAGTCCACACCACAACAGTACCTACGCTTACTTGATGTGATCAAGGGTATAATCAAGAGTAATTTCATGATTAAAAGGTATTTGGTTACTCTAACCATATACCATCATTGTAACTTCTAACCTTAACACTCTAATACTGACAGATTATGCTTATTTCAATAATAAGTAAATTTACGTTTATTTTTGAACATACTAGACTTATTAAACCATTCTACCCAAGTGATAGCTTTCAGTTGCCAAAATGTATTCACTCATTACTAGTTGTTTGAATTTGAGATTATTTGTATCCGCATTAAGGAGAGTCCAGAAATTTTTACGGTTATTTTACCAATTTACAGGATAACTTAATCAATTAGAATGTATATGCTGGAATTTTATCATTTAGATGGATAAGATCTATACATAAGTTAGACATATTCTTATACGTGAAATTACTTCATGATGAGAATAAGCAACGAGAAATTCGAAAATACAATACCATTATTGAGTTGTGTAAATTAACGTTATTAGAATAAAGCTGATCGATAAATATGTGTATAATTTTAACAGATTACAACTTTCAACCAATCAGATCTAAAACAAAAGTTATGACCTTCATTGATCATTCATGTCTGTTAACAAGTATTTAAATCTTAAATTCATTTGGTTAGGGCGATTTTTGGAAAGTATGACAAAGACATATTGTCTTCCTGAAGTTAAGTATACTCAAGTAAGTATTTAATTTGTCCAGTCAGTACATCTTGTTATCATTCGGTATGGAGTTGTTACTTTCACATTCTGTTAAATTTTTCAAGTTTAAATTTATATAAAAACTAACTAAATTTCTACGAATAATTTAACTTGATTCGAAGGCTATTGTGATAGGTAAATCCATCTTATCAGTATAGGGTTGTGGAGATTAATAAATTTTTGATTGAGATCATGAACTGAGTGATGTTAGACCATCATTGAAAATCTGGAAGCACTAGATGACCGTTTCGTCCTATTGTGGGACTCCTCAGCAATTTCGCGAATTGGTTGAGGTTAGACATTAACATCGTTGGACACCGACTTATTTTTTAGAGGTTAGGCGTTCGCGCGCAAGACTGAAGGCTTTGGGTTCGAATCCCGCGAGCGGGATCGTGGATGCGCACTGCTGAGGAGTCCCACAATAGAACAAAACGGCCGTCTAGTGCTTCCAGGTTTTCAATGGTGGTCTAACATCGATCAGTTCATAATTTCAATCAAAAAAATCCATCTTGAACATTTTCTAGGAAGTTATTTAACTTGGATTGTAAATTGCATTCATCATTTAGAACATGACTTTTAGATGTCACGTTGACTCATTTGCTATTCACAAGTTAACTAATCCCACTTTGTTGATTTTTAAAAAAAATTGTCCTTTTCATAAATAGAATGTGAGAGTACGGATACTGTATTATAAGTGAACTCATGAATAACTTATTGTTCAAAATCTTTCGATTCATGAATTATTCCCTTAGTGTTGATTGTTCGAATAGAACAACTTCCAGAATTCTAAGTATTCTTTAGAAATCTGGAGTGACATAAATTTGTAATTGTCTAATGAAATCAAATGACTAGAAAGTTCAGTTGAACGTGGCTGTTGATTGTTTTCATGACGATGCTTAATCGATATTGGAAAGGGCTGCTTAACAACTCCTATTAATGTCTAAATTATGGAGCCTTTATACAGTACTAACGTTTGTTGTCCGACAAATCAGATTATATGTATATTAACAAGTTTGTTCACCTCGGAAAGTTGCGCTTATTGTACAGTATAACTTAGTGTACTTACCAATGTAACTCATATCTTTGTTGCACGGTGATTTCTATTTTAATAAAGATGCTTGATAAGTTCATAATTAGTAGCGAGTTTGGAAAGATTTAACGTTTAATAAGGCTCAGCAACTGTGTTTGCTTAACTAGGATTTACCTGCTTAACTTTTATAATTTTAAATTTTATTACTTTTAAAGAAATCTAGCCAGTTGTAAATATAATTACATCTTTTGACGTACTTTATATTCGACATGCTATATTTTAGTTATTCATTGGTAATGAATTTGTCGATAGCAAATCGAAAAAAACATTTCCAACTATTAATCCAACAACAGAGGATGTGATATGTCATGTTCAAGAAGCTGATCAGAATGATGTAAACAAAGCAGTTGAATCTGCTAAGGCAGCCTTCAAAACAGGATCTACGTGGCGTACCATGGATGCTTCAGAACGTGGTGTTTTGTTACATAAATTGGCTGATCTCATCAAGATGAATGCTGAATATATAGCTGTAAGTTGTTTCTTATCTGTCCATATGGATTCGAACTGGTGGCTAAGACGTCTATTCAGTCTCAGATTCGATTCCTGTGTCACCTACTTCGGCTCGGACAGCCGGTTGTTATTACTAGCCTTCAATCATAAATTTTGACTTAGAGTACCGTGTACATGGATCTGCAATTGATGAATACGTTACATCATCATCAGTTTGGAAAAACATGGAGTATCCATTTTTCTGGAAAAACTTGCTCTGTACAGGTGAATCTACAGTTAGATTTAAACTAAGGAAAGAATTCAGTGTACCTCAACAATTTACGTGATAAATATTTAGAAGCATTTTTTGGTCTTGTGTCATATTGATATTAAGAATTTACTGATTTCCATGGAATATTCGAGATCAGAAAGTCTTGAAGTGGACGATCTTTTACGATAACTCCTCCATCAGACTTTACGGTTATAAATCCAAGATTATCATTTTTTTGTTAATCCATTAGAAACAGCAAACTTCACGCCGGTTGTTTCTTATATTGTACAAATTAATAACAAAACCAAATAACTTAAATGGTAATGTTGAGAAAAGATCAGACAAAAAAGGATGAGAAGAATCATACGTCGTAGTGAAGATGATGAGTTTTAACTAATAAGTTGGATTGTATATTTAAAAAACTAATTTTATTATAGCTATTGTGATAATAATAACATCGAAAATAAATATAATCTAAAATAATAAAGATGAATTCGGGATAATAAACAGTTTCTTGGGAGTGAAAATCGTAATTGTTACATCATCCTACAACCAACGAATACGCGTAGATGACCTTAAGCAACCAATACCTAGCAACGACTTGGAAGACTGATACTCTACGCCTGACGATTAATCCAACACTAACTTTCCCCGAACGAAGAGAAAGAACGCAATACCATGTTCACCAGACCAAATCATCATTGTATTTCAGTCATTTATTTATATACATACATGACCAGACCACACAGTAAATCAACTGGGTAACAGTATTAACACGGAACAATAACATTATTGATGGGAAGACGGAATACTGGGTACACAAATAATTGGGTCTAGTTTATGAATGAAATATGCTATAGCAACAAACTACGGTTCAAATAAAAGATTAGAACTAGGGTAATAAGAAAATAATAAAAACAAAAATACTTGGTAAAATTGCAACCTAATTATAAATAAAACTGTAGAAAATAAGCTTCGAAATTTTCTACCTTATAGTTAAATCGTCCCCTACGACAATAATGAAAGTAGAAGGGACGTCACTGGATGGTGGTGTTCCATTCGTTTAAAGTTGGTAAAGACTTACCTTGTGAATCTGACAAGGCTTTCCTGGATATGGTATCCGTGTATTCAGGACTTACAAACCCACTGCGTGGATGTGATCACAAGGGTGCATGGACGTCGCCTAATATGTGTTACATGCACACCAATAACACACAAGTTTTCACTTATGCATCTCATAGTATAGATAAAATTATGTTCATCTACCTGGGATGGTAGATGGTTATCGCTCTCTTCGAACGTATTTGCTACGACTGACTGTCTTCTACGCATTACATGCACATTTACGGTACAAAGACTTGCTCATGCACTTCATGGAATGCACATAAGTATAAGCACTCTCAGGGAAGGTTGGTGGTCACCAATTATTATTTAAAACTCAATAGACGTGAAATTTTTCATTCTCAATTTATTCCATAGACCAATCCAACTTCAATATTTGTTTACTTAATGCAGTAATAATTTTGGATTTATGACTGCAGAGCCTAACGGAAAAGTTATCGAAAACGATAGCTCACTGTAATACTCTCTTCTCTTTAATGTTTATTTTAGCTTGAAGGTTCCACTTTTCCGAATTAGTTTAGTATTCCCTTTGTGGAACCTTAAAATTTGTGGAAATTTCCATCCATTTCTTTGTGATAATATATTAGTTTGTTCAATAATGAAAATAGTAAGTATGTTGCGCTTAGAATTCATAATTTCACCAACATCAATTTGATGTTTGTACTTCTATCATCATTCCTTTTCCTTTTCATTTTAGCGTTTGGAAGCAATGGATAATGGGAAGACTGTAGAATTAGCATTAGATGATGTCTTATTTGCAGCGCAAACAACTCGATATTATGCTGGATACGCTGATAAGATTCATGGCAAACAGTTACCAGTTGACGGGAATATGATTACGTTTACTCGCCGTGAACCACTTGGAGTTGTTGCTTGTATCACACCATGGAACTATCCGTTTTTGTTGAGCGTTCTCAAATGTACTCCATGTTTATGCGCTGGTTGCACAGTTGTATTGAAACCCGCAGAACAAACACCATTATCCGCATTGTATTTAGCTGCTTTAACCAAAGAGGCAGGTAAACATATACATATACCGTTAATATTCCATTTTAAAATACAAATGATGTCTATGGATAAATGACTTGCAAAATCAGACAAGAAACAATTAATATGTTCTTTGTGTTATTTCTGCAATACGTGATTGAACTGAGTTAAATTACTAACTAATTGTTATTATTTGACTGGAAGGTTAACGTTTTTAAAACTCCTGGGATACAGGTTTTAATCAGCGTTTGACTTCTTTGATTTTGGTTTCTTTTCTATGGTATCGTAACTGATATCAACCATAAATAACTGTTGCCTACGTATATTCGAACAGAAAAAGAACCTCATTTAACTGAGATGCAAATGAATATTCATGATACTTTTAGAAATAACTGTTGATTTACAAGTTTGAATCCCTTTATACTTAACTTGTACAAATGATTTTGTACTAACGTGACTAAATTTCATCGAGTCTATTTTGATTCCGAGTTTAATTCTACGTAAATCGACTTGTCATATGTTTCACCACTGTATTTGTTCTACTGTTGTAATTTATTTGATATTTTCAGTGGCAGAATAAGTGTCTTCCAGAAATAATTAACAATTATTTTTTTATTTAGGTTTCCCACCTGGAGTATTTAATGTTATCTGTGGATATGGTGAAACTACTGGTGAGGCGTTAACTCATCACCCAGATGTTAGAGCTATCTCATTCACTGGTAGTACTGAAGTTGGTCAGTTGATAATGAAAGCTGCGGCTACGAATATTAAACATGTGAAATTAGAACTTGGCGGCAAATCACCACTGATCATATTAGCTGATGCTGATAGTATGTGTTTAACATTTTTGTTGTATCTTCTTACCATAATTGGAAGTGCCGTTACTAAAGAACTGTAACCGAGACGTTATTTTCTGAAAATTCTTTTCAGAAACATTTTGCATTCATGTATGGGTAATTTCTTGAATGCCATAAAAGATGGTACGCAGTCTTCAGATATGATACCGAACATTTCACTCCCGTTCTTATACTGGTGAATTTCCTGCATTGTATATATATTCCAATACTGATATCAAATTTACGACTTTTGGAACAGGTCCAGCTACTGACTGGCGGTTCTAGATAGTCTAGAAACAGGTTGCAAAATGTCAGGAATTAATCTGCGTAGTTGCTAATTATTGGTCTGAGACAATCTAAGAGGTGAGAACTTGGTGGTTACGGTTCGTAACGTAACGCTAATGTATGTCATAAGATATAAAGTGACATGGTTCAAAATCGTTTGAAGTAGACTAGTCTTTATGAGTCGGTAATTTAAAATAGCTTTCACCCTATTAGTTCATCTTAATTTTAATTTTTTTGTCCCAACATTTGACCCTAAATAAAGGAACACCTAGACGAATTGTAGACCTTAATGTGTTGTCTGTGATAAAATTCCATTGAATTCAACAATATTCATTCATTTAACATGTACTATTCATGTATCAATAGGTTTTTTTAATCAAATTAGTTTTTGTACCCTTGGATTGTTCAACTTACAAACAAATTTAGATTGTTTTAATAGTTGAGATCATGAAGCTAGACCACCATGGAAAACTTGGAAACATTGGACGGCCCTCGAAAATGAGAATTTATCTTTAGTTTATGCGTTATTTAGATTTAGTGTATGTGATTTATATTATGTTATGTTGCGTGAATGTTTGATACTGACTGAATTTTATCTACCAGAATCACTAGAATAAATCATTTGATGTCCCATTATAATAGAATATGAAGCTGCCTAGTAATAACAACAACCTAGTTGCTAATACCGTTTGGTTATTCCAAGAATTATCAGTATAGGGTTGTGGGGATTATTAAGTTATTGATCGAGATTTTGAACCGATCGATCGTGGATGCGCACTGCTGAGGAGTCCCCCAATAGAACGAAACGGCCGTCCAGTGCTTGCAGGTTTTTAATGGTGGTCTAACATCAATCGGTTCAAGATCTGTATTCCAAGAATTGTTTACCGATATATTTAAACGTGCTTATACTTTCAGAGTATCTCTCGATTTGACTTCTTTTTCTTTTCATTATCATCGTTATATTTTGAGATCACTGGCGATTAAATGTTTGAATACTTATGAAGTTAATATAATTTACTGTTACTAGTATATATGTCGAATATTTTTGTATAAATGGTTTTGAATAGATAAATATATATGACCTGTATGAGATTGGTATACCACATTTAAAAATCTTCATATATACCTTTTCAATGGTAATATTCACTAGTTTCTTTTTTTATTTAGCATACCTTAAAATAAATCTATGTTGCCTCTTTGTCTGTTTTTGATTGTTCAGTTGAGAAAGCTGCAGAAGTTGCACACGAAGCTACAATGGTTAACCATGGACAGTGTTGTGTGGCTGGTACTCGTGTATTTGTACAAGCTCCTATATACGATCAGATGGTTGAGAAACTGAAAAGGCTAGCTGAGCAACGTAAAGTTGGTGATCCTTTCGTATCTGGTACTATACAAGGTCCACAGGTAATCAGTTACTGTTTGGTTGCTGTCTTGTGTTGGTATATAAGTACTACCGATAAGTTTGGAACTATTTCCCATGAAAATTTTCATTTGTTTCTCTCGGCACACTGTTCTGAAAGTCTTTATTAAAATTGCATAGTAGCCACCAGTGCAATAACGGACAGTTTCAACTGATTACATCTACCTATCAACGGCAAAATAAAAGTCCTTAAAAGTACTATTTTAAACGTCATTTCCCATAATAGTAGTAGATTGGTGAGGCAATGTCACTGAATTGACAAAAACATGAACTACTTTTATAAGTGACTTTTGGAGTCATTTGTGGAGGAAACCAATATTAAGTCTTATTTTAAGTTTTTATTGCAACAAAGTGTATTTGAAATGTTGGAATGATCATTTTTTCGTTTGGTTACTCTTTAGCAGTGGATCCCAAAAGCTCCAGATAAGATGTAGCCTAGGAGTTTAGGTCTAAAAACAAGCGTGATGCCTTCAGATCATTATGTAAATGTATAATGGTTCACATTGTCAGCTTCAATTAATTTGTGTTATAGTTTGATCTTCATATTGTATTATTCTTGTGTCTCACTACTTAGATCATTTCTTTCAGATAGAACTTTAATAGATATATCTTGTACCTAGTCCACTAATCATCGTACAGTTATGATTGTATTAAGTGGCCTTGTTAAGATTTCCTATAAATTGAAGGATACTGACCTCACTTCACTTGTAGTCAATGGACAACTTAAATGCCATGAGTTAGCTCGCGTATAAAGATGTGAGTGTGCACTCTTTGGGAGTCTTCGGAGTTCGAACCCAGGGCCGCGAGCGAGATCGTGAATGCACACTGCTGAAGAGTCCCACAATGGGACGAAACGGCTGTCCAGTGCTCCCAGGTTTTCAATGATGGTCTAGCTTCAACTGACTCATGATTTCAACCTGTGTAATTTCTAAAACTCTCCACAAAAACCCATTCTGTTAATTTTAGTTCTTTATATATATATATATTTCCAGTTCCTACTCATCCTCTTCATGTCTTCTTCCAATCCCCGATGTAGTGTGTTCTTTAACCTTCCTCTTTTTCGTTTACCCTCAATATTTCAAGTTGGTGCTTGTCTCGTGATGGAACTAGTTGTCTTCCATTTATATGGAAACATTTTCTTCATGTTGTTGTCTTTGACATAATCTAATATTAATAACCTGATCGAATGTTTGATGTGAATTCGTATAAATAAAATAGTTTTTATTTACTAAGACATGCTTAATCAATATGAAACTTTCTTTTCTTCGATTCCAATCTGAAAAAGATTGACAATGTACAATTTGACAAAATTATGTCATATATTGAAAAAGGCAAAAAGCAAGGTGCTCGACTAGTCACTGGAGGATGTCGAATTGGAAAAAAAGGTTATTTTATTCAACCAACAGTGTTTGCAGATGTGTCTGATGAAATGTGTATAGCAAAAGAAGAGATTTTCGGTCCAGTTCAATGTATATTGAAATTTAATACATTGGAAGAAGTAATTGAACGTGCAAATGCCACACATTATGGATTAGGTGCTGGTGTACTCACAAGTGATATGGATAAAGCAATGAGAATTGCTCAATGTGTAGAAGCTGGAAGTTTTTGGTAAGCTTATTTCACACTGAAAAATATGTATTTGAATTATTGATATGCGCTCGTTAGTTCGTGCTTGTCTAGTGAGTAAGATGAGTATGCGTTGAAGTCAATAACAAAAGAAAAATCCTCATCGTGTAAATTAATAAAACAGATATAAAGGAACAATATTGTTTCCAATTAATTCTTCATCAGACTTTAATATACAGGAATAATCATATGCATAAATTCACTTGGTATTGTTTGCTTGAACCTTCCCATTGAGGTTTTTACGACTGAAATTGATCAGTCTGTTATTGGTATATGTGCATACTATGCGTATTGCCTCGATATTGCCTTAATTCACAAGCCTGATAAGTAAAGATGGATAGTGACTAGCAGTGGAATCCAGGACGCGCGTTTCGTCTCATTTGGAACGCATCAGCTGAATGTACCTGCATTAATTATGTGCATATATGAGAAATACTGAACCAGTCGAGGCAATTTCTGAGTCAGTGACAATTATTAAATAGATTATATTTAGTATGTAAATATATGATATGATAGTAATAGAACATATTGTAGTAATAAATATATGAATAATAAACATCATGTTAATATAAACAAATGTACTGAAACAGGAAGTTATTCAAAGGTTGTGAATAAACGTATTACAATAGTAACCATTTAAATAACACAATACAATCCACAAAAAGGACTTATTGTTTTTCAAATAATTAAATATGATCTGAACTATTCGGATATTAATAAATAATCTTGTTCAACACATTGGTTAAGTGAGAAAATGAATTAGAGCTGCAATGAACAAAGATGAACTATTTGTATTGGAAATACAGTAGTTCACATGAATTAACTAGAAATCTAAAATAATTCTGTGCACAATTGATCCTTACGGGATCTGGTCTGTTTATCTTGAAGTTGGGCGTCTATTGAGTTTTTCATCTGGCCCAGTAACACTGTTGAAAACCTTCCCTCGTACTGACAGTAGTGTGATGCATCTGTAGCTCTTGCATTTGCTCAAATATCCTTTCTTTGGTTTCTTAATGAGGTGTCTTTCTTTCCAGTCTGTCGGTGACACTTTTTTTTCCTACCGAATCTTCCCGAATAAAGTGTGGAGTATTTTTGCAGTTACTTCCATATCTGACTTCAGAGCTTCGAGTGGTATATTGTCAGGTCGTGCTGCTTTCCCACTCTTCATTTGTCAATGGCCATCCTGATTTCTTTGATTGTTGATGAAGTGACATCTATAGGCGTGTCTGTGTGTTCTCCTTCGATGTCCGGTGAATTCATTGGAGTTGGCCTGTTCAAGAGTTCTTTAAATTGTTCTACCCATCTCCTCCCCTGTTCTTGAATCTCGGTGATCGTCTTGCATTCTTTGTCCTTGACCGGTCTCTCCGGTTTACCATATTACCCTATCAGTTTCTTCGTTGTGTCATATAATTGTTTCATAATCCCTTCTCTTGCAGCTTTCTCCACTGTCGTTGTTAGGTCTTCCACGTATTTCTGCTAGTTGAATTTAATGCTCCTCTTCACTTGATTGTTTTTTCGCCAGTTTATTCAGCTTTCTCTATTCATTTTCGCCTGTTGTTAAATACTTTCTTTTTTTGCTCACATTGTTGGATCTTCCATACGGTTTCAATAGAGATCCATTCAATATCACGATGCTTGTTGCGGTCCGGCACCTCATGACACGTTGGAATTAGTGTTTAATTGATCACTTTCCCATTGCCTGCACAGTAGTATCTTCATAAACGTTGTTGTCCATTCCGACTTCGGCATTTAGATCTCGGATCGGGATTCTAAGGTGCTTTCCTACGTAATTCGTCGCATTCCACTAAACTCAACAACGAACGATGCCAAGACAAAGGAAAACAAAAAACAACAAGTTATTTAATCGATACACAGTTAACGACTGATTATCTGTGTTGTAACGGAAAACAACCCGAGTATCTGGACTCCATAATTCCATGCACACTAACAACCGACTTTTTGAACACCTTGTTCTGTGAGTTAGCACCATCGAACTGAATGAACTGGAAATTTTCAACTAATAGACTGAATGTTAAATATAGAAGAGAGGTGAATGAACTTAATCTCCTGTTGTGCAGTGGTATGTGAAATACAGGGTTGTGGTGTTTATTAATCAACACAGTGGATTCGACTCAATCGAACTGATATTGATGTGAATCGATAGCGTGTGGAGAATAACCGAAGTGATTGGCATTAGCTAATGTGTCTTATTGGATGATTTGTAATTCTGTTTGAGAAGTGACGACCTAATTAAATAAAGAATAGAATCGAGTGAATCTGCATCATGAGTGTCTGTTGATAGTCTATCGAATGGTCAGTGTTGTGTATGTGGAGTGAGAATGTGGTACCTGTGGTAGAGAGTGTAGTTGATGTAAGCAGACAGAGAGGGACGTAGGTATGTGTGTGGATATCGAGGTGTTGTGTTGGTAAAATATGTGGCGTCGCGTCCCGTGACCCCCATTGTGAGATGCGGTCAATAACCGTACACCTGAGGCTAGCGCCCATCCAACCAGGTCATCTGCTCAGCACCACATACAGCCACAGGGCCATGTGCAGTACTTCTCCGCAGTTATGACGTGGAGACTGGGTGGGAAACCCGCACTTGGCGGACAACACTCTCTGTCCAGTGCCCGGGGAGTTCTCCCAGAGTCAGTGAGTGACTGTTTGTTTTTCACGCACTCTTCAACAAACTCCGAAATAACCACCGGTCCGCGACAATCGCGTGCTGTTGCATTTACTCACCTAAAATATACTGGTTGGTAACCGTTAGAAGGACTTCATTTGCACATCTTTACACAACTTATTCTTATTCCCATTTCGATTTCGCTCAATCGTCGACATCCTAAATTCTCATTCACTTGTGCTTGCCGTTTGTTCTCTTCCTACAGTAACTTGAGCGTTTCGCATTTATTTATACCCTTATTTATTTAAGTAGTATATTGACATTGGTGATAATATTATTCACGATCTATTTATCTTCTTACCACATATGCTTCAATTTATTCATCTTCTTGCGTTCAGATGCTTTGGTTTAGATGAATATTTCGTTTATTGTTTCATAAGTGCGTAGATCAAAGCTTATTTAGTTGCTTAAGCCTAGTAATCCTCATGAAGGAGCATATGTCACACACTAGCATTCTCCATTCAACTCTGTCCTGGACAATCCTTTCCAGTTCCTATTTATCCTCTTCATGTCTGCTTCCGATTCCCGATGTAGTGTGTTCTTTGGTCCTCCACATTTTCGTTTTCCCTCAACATTCTAAGATGGCGCTTGTCTCGTGATGCAGTTTGATGATATCCGTAATGTGTGTCCTATTCACTTCCAATTTCTTTTCCTGATTTCCTATTCATCTGGAAGCTGGTTTGTTTTCTCCCACAGTAGGCTGATGCTGATGATGTTCGACCAACAGATATTGAGTATATTGCGTAGATAATTGTTTAGAGATACTTGTACTTTTTGATGATTATTGTGGTAGTTCTTCATATTTCAACAGAACTGTCTTGATGATCATATTGAATATTCTGACTTCGAAATTGGTTGACAGTTGTTTTGAGTTCTATATGTTATTCAATTGTAGGAATGCTGTCCTTGCATTGCCAATCCTCAGCTTTACGTCTGCATCAGATCCTCCTTGTTCATCGATGATGCAACTCAGATACGTGAGAGATTCCACATCTTCCAGAGATTCTCCATCAAATGAGATTGGGTTGGTGTTCTCCGTGTTGCATTTGACGACCTTGCTTGTTCCCTTGTGTATGTTGAGGTCTACTGATGCAGAGGCTGCTGCTTCACTGTTTGTCTTCACCTACATGTGTTGATGTGTATGGGATAGGAGGTCCAGGTAATCTGCGAAGTCCAAGTATTCTGACTGATTCCGAACTGTCCATTGTATTCCATGTTTTCTCTCAGACGTCGAGGTCTTTATAATCCAGTCGACCACCAGAAGAAAGTTGATGGGGAGAGTATGAGGTGTTGTCTGACTCCAGTCCTCACTTGGAATGAACATGTCATTTGTCCTCCCTGCACCACTTTGCTGTGTAGTCCTTCTTATGAAGTTAGTATTTCTTTGATCCCCTTCCAATTGTCCTCCACAGTACTTTCTTCATAACCGTAGTTGTCCATTCCGACTTCGGCGTTTAGATGTCGCATCAGGATTGTCAGGTGCTTTCCTAGTCACTTCGCTATTATCGATTGCAGCCTCTCGTAGAACTGGTCTCTATCGTCGTCGTTGCTATCATTAGTGGGTGTGGAATACAGGATAGCATTCATTGTGATTCCCTCCTTCTTTGCATAAAGGATGTTCTGATGATCCTGGATCCGTGAGATTCCTATCTTATGAGTGAATTTCGCGCTTCATTGTAAAGTGTCAGAGCAACTACCTGAGTGTGTGTAACATTTTCCTTTTCGTGACTGGAGTACAGCAGCATCTCGCCCGTATCCAATCTTTACTGTCCAGTTTGGGTCCAATGAGTTTCGCTGTTTGCCAGTACAACCGAGTTGTATTTCGTCATTTCCGTAGTTATTTGACTGGTCCTCCTGGTCTCCCACATTGTCCGGACATTCCATATACCTATAAAAATTGTTGCTCCAATTGTTAGAAGTGCCATCAGCCTCATGACTTTCAAAGAATTTCGGTTTTCATCATGAAGTGTCATAATTGTTCGTTCGACTGTGAGAGTAGAGTTTAATTTGTTTATTCTGGTTAGCGTTGTTTAGCAAGGTCTTAGCTTTAGACATTCAGTATCCCTAGAAGAGCTACAGACTGAGTTTTACTGTATTTTGACAAACTATTGTTCCATAATTTATTATTAATGTGTTATACGTGCGACTAAGCCCTTAACACAATGTTTGTTTGAATTATTCACTTTCATGTCATAGGATCAATAGTTATAATCTCATTTTTCCCCAAACTCCTTTTGGTGGTTATAAAATGTCTGGAATGGGACGTGAACTGTGAGTATTATGATGAATAAATTTCGCATGTATGTGTTTTAGTACGTTATCATAATTTTAGTTGTTTCTAATATCCGGCCATACTCGACAGTGAAAATGCACTACAACAGGATATCCACTTAATGCATAGAAACTAGAATATTACATGTACATTTCTGCACAACCACCAATATGATTCCTTTCGTAAACCTGCAATTACTAAGTATTTTTCATGTCGCGAGATTAACTGTTTTACAAATTTGATGACTATTTCACTGGCCTGCATGAGTTGGATAACATAATCTCGATGGTCAAGTGTTCAAGCCTACAGTAACTAAATCAGATCATTACAACTACTCCTTCCAACCAAAATTATCTAGAGAAACGTTTAGAACTTGTTCACTCGTAAATGCTCTTCAATGATAAACATCGATAAAAACTGTAATCATTTACTGTAACCATTTACATAAAAATGAATTGTTTATCTGAAAGTAGAATTCAATTAGACTAGTAGGTTAAGAATGCTCTCGATTTCGGTAAGACCATAATTGATTTGAACTGTAATTGGTTTTTCCTGCTGTGTCATCCATCCTAAAAGTACCATTGTCAACTAGGATCATAAATAATTTAACGTATTCTATTAATGGGCATATTGTTAAATGAGTGTGAATATTTGTCTAGCTTGATAGTTCTACTCACTAGTTGACATTAGATGGAGAACGAATGAAAATGCTAAAGCACTGTGTAGCTCTTTCGTCATAGCTTGGGACTTTTCAACTGATCATACTTACAGTCACACGAACGACCTTCAAATCAGTCATCAATGGATAATTTTGAGATGAATATCTCTGAGTTTTAGTGAGGAACTGTAGATTGTGAAATCAGCTATCTAGATTATGTGGTAGATACCTACAGATGACATTGTATGATGTTTGCATTGTATCACTGATTAAATGAGACTGGAAACATGAACCATTTCAACATTACTACATAATATTACTCATTCTTTTCCTCATTATTTCAGTGGGAAAGAAGCACTGGATGGTTACTTGCAAACGAAAGTTATTTCTATGCCAATTTCAGTAAAGAATTCTTGAAATTCATGACAGTTTCTTTTTATTCTTTTGTATTTTCTCTATAAACACGATGATTTTACAATAGAATTTTTATATGAATGTGATTTATTGTTATTGATATTGATACTGTTGTTCTATCGTTAATAGTAGATTTTACATAGATAAATAAATAAGATATTGTGAAAGATTTCCATTGATTTTCTGAAAGATTTACTGAGCTTAAAAATAGATGAGGAAATAATAGAAAGTATGAAAAGACCAAATTGTTTTTCGAAACATGATGAGAGTCGAAATCTGTAATGAACTTGTCAGAACAGTGTTCATTCTACAGGATCGTTTGAATACCTGTACAATGCCCACAGATTGTTTGTCAAATTATAATTAGCAAGGAATTCTAGTCATAAGCACAAAATGGATCTATTCGATTATAAGATAACCAATTAAGCGTTTATGTTTTTAGTATAGTAGATGTTCTAATCCTAATTACGTCACGATTCCAGAGCAAATTGATTAACAGTTCGGTCGATAGATTCCTATCTCAAGCTTTGTTCAGATTTATTTAAGGATGAAATATTTCTTGCACGCTTATAGAAAGCCTATGGGTACTGTCCAACTATAAATACACTAGACTTTATTCCTTCTTTGATCGCCTTTTATGCATTCAAACGATACTACTTGCTGGTAGTAAGTAGTTTGAGTTACAATAAACTATTTACAGGCCTCTAACTTGGCATCTAGTTTCATAAACTCGCAATAGACTTCATATCATATGCGTTTAACTTTGTGTTCTGATACTTGAACTACATCTTGTTTTCACATTTTTGGACTCCCAGTTTTTTCTCGATCCTTTACTATTTCTACTTTTCATAACTTGATTTGTCTCGGCAGTTTTGTCTATTCTCAGGAACGACGCGTCATTTGTTTACGTTAACATTTCTGATATTCACATTTGACAGAATCGTATCATACATTCTGTGATGCCATGCTCGGTAGAGTATTCACAAGCATTAATGACGTGGGCACTACGTTCCATGTGGAAATCCAGTCCCTCTGTGTTTTTAGATAAGCTTTACTGATGAGTACCAACTGGTAGGAATATCAGGTCAGCAGGGCTCTTTGGCAAGTTCATCCAACCACTTAATACACCTAAATGTGCCACAAGTATTCAGAGTTTGACAACGTCCTAACCAGTAACGCCTTTATAATCGAAGTATGCCAACTCAGTCAAATCAGAGGTCAGGAATAAAGGGGATCGAAGATATATTAGGGAGGCTATCGGTGTCAGTTGAACTTCTGGTTTAAGCTGGCTAGCAGTTGAAAGAGATGTGTAGCGAGGTGTACCCACTCGTGATCTGGTGCGGATGCGTGACCGTGTGCCTTCATCTAGGTGAGACCAGTAGAATTAATGAGGTCAGCACGAAATGTTGAAGACTTACAGTTCTATTGATTTTGAGAATTTATTAACCGCTGCACTCTATAAAAGCAACCATTGGTAAAACACTTTGAATGCTTTTCTTAATGCCCATATTTAGATAGACTAGTTTTGCTTCTATTCACAGTCTAGCATAATTATTACTCAGTTACTTGAAATATGTACTTTCCACTTTTATGTGCTTCTAACGATGTATCGAAAGGCAGAATACACCGAAATTTAAGGCTTATGAATTTGTAGTCGTATATCCGTCTTCTGGATAATTCTTCCGATTTTCGAAATTGTGTTACACTTCACGTTTCTCTTGACCTTTGAATTCTAATGATCATTTTTAAGGGGACGATTATAAATTAGTGATTGGCTGATAACTACATAGAATTCACCAAACTCATGTTCCATTTTCGGAATTGAAGCAAAACTCTAAATAATCCAAAATGATACGTCGCACTTCACTAAACTCAACAACGAACGATGCCAAGACAAAGGAAAACAAAAAACAACAAGTTATTTAATCGATACACAGTTAACGACTGATTATCTGTGTTGTAACGGAAAACAACCCGAGTATCTGGACTCCATAATTCCATGCACACTAACAACCGACTTTTTGAACACCTTGTTCTGTGAGTTAGCACCATCGAACTGAATGAACTGGAAATTTTCAACTAATAGACTGAATGTTAAATATAGAAGAGAGGTGAATGAACTTAATCTCCTGTTGTGCAGTGGTATGTGAAATACAGGGTTGTGGTGTTTATTAATCAACACAGTGGATTCGACTCAATCGAACTGATATTGATGTGAATCGATAGCGTGTGGAGAATAACCGAAGTGATTGGCATTAGCTAATGTGTCTTATTGGATGATTTGTAATTCTGTTTGAGAAGTGACGACCTAATTAAATAAAGAATAGAATCGAGTGAATCTGCATCATGAGTGTCTGTTGATAGTCTATCGAATGGTCAGTGTTGTGTATGTGGAGTGAGAATGTGGTACCTGTGGTAGAGAGTGTAGTTGATGTAAGCAGACAGAGAGGGACGTAGGTATGTGTGTGGATATCGAGGTGTTGTGTTGGTAAAATATGTGGCGTCGCGTCCCGTGACCCCCATTGTGAGATGCGGTCAATAACCGTACACCTGAGGCTAGCGCCCATCCAACCAGGTCATCTGCTCAGCACCACATACAGCCACAGGGCCATGTGCAGTACTTCTCCGCAGTTATGACGTGGAGACTGGGTGGGAAACCCGCACTTGGCGGACAACACTCTCTGTCCAGTGCCCGGGGAGTTCTCCCAGAGTCAGTGAGTGACTGTTTGTTTTTCACGCACTCTTCAACAAACTCCGAAATAACCACCGGTCCGCGACAATCGCGTGCTGTTGCATTTACTCACCTAAAATATACTGGTTGGTAACCGTTAGAAGGACTTCATTTGCACATCTTTACACAACTTATTCTTATTCCCATTTCGATTTCGCTCAATCGTCGACATCCTAAATTCTCATTCACTTGTGCTTGCCGTTTGTTCTCTTCCTACAGTAACTTGAGCGTTTCGCATTTATTTATACCCTTATTTATTTAAGTAGTATATTGACATTGGTGATAATATTATTCACGATCTATTTATCTTCTTACCACATATGCTTCAATTTATTCATCTTCTTGCGTTCAGATGCTTTGGTTTAGATGAATATTTCGTTTATTGTTTCATAAGTGCGTAGATCAAAGCTTATTTAGTTGCTTAAGCCTAGTAATCCTCATGAAGGAGCATATGTCACACACTAGCATTCTCCATTCAACTCTGTCCTGGACAATCCTTTCCAGTTCCTATTTATCCTCTTCATGTCTGCTTCCGATTCCCGATGTAGTGTGTTCTTTGGTCCTCCACATTTTCGTTTTCCCTCAACATTCTAAGATGGCGCTTGTCTCGTGATGCAGTTTGATGATATCCGTAATGTGTGTCCTATTCACTTCCAATTTCTTTTCCTGATTTCCTATTCATCTGGAAGCTGGTTTGTTTTCTCCCACAGTAGGCTGATGCTGATGATGTTCGACCAACAGATATTGAGTATATTGCGTAGATAATTGTTTAGAGATACTTGTACTTTTTGATGATTATTGTGGTAGTTCTTCATATTTCAACAGAACTGTCTTGATGATCATATTGAATATTCTGACTTCGAAATTGGTTGACAGTTGTTTTGAGTTCTATATGTTATTCAATTGTAGGAATGCTGTCCTTGCATTGCCAATCCTCAGCTTTACGTCTGCATCAGATCCTCCTTGTTCATCGATGATGCAACTCAGATACGTGAGAGATTCCACATCTTCCAGAGATTCTCCATCAAATGAGATTGGGTTGGTGTTCTCCGTGTTGCATTTGACGACCTTGCTTGTTCCCTTGTGTATGTTGAGGTCTACTGATGCAGAGGCTGCTGCTTCACTGTTTGTCTTCACCTACATGTGTTGATGTGTATGGGATAGGAGGTCCAGGTAATCTGCGAAGTCCAAGTATTCTGACTGATTCCGAACTGTCCATTGTATTCCATGTTTTCTCTCAGACGTCGAGGTCTTTATAATCCAGTCGACCACCAGAAGAAAGTTGATGGGGGAGAGTATGAGGTGTTGTCTGACTCCAGTCCTCACTTGGAATGAACATGTCATTTGTCCTCCCTGCACCACTTTGCTGTGTAGTCCTTCTTATGAAGTTAGTATTTCTTTGATCCCCTTCCAATTGTCCTCCACAGTACTTTCTTCATAACCGTAGTTGTCCATTCCGACTTCGGCGTTTAGATGTCGCATCAGGATTGTCAGGTGCTTTCCTAGTCACTTCGCTATTATCGATTGCAGCCTCTCGTAGAACTGGTCTCTATCGTCGTCGTTGCTATCATTAGTGGGTGTGGAATACAGGATAGCATTCATTGTGATTCCCTCCTTCTTTGCATAAAGGATGTTCTGATGATCCTGGATCCGTGAGATTCCTATCTTATGAGTGAATTTCGCGCTTCATTGTAAAGTGTCAGAGCAACTACCTGAGTGTGTGTAACATTTTCCTTTTCGTGACTGGAGTACAGCAGCATCTCGCCCGTATCCAATCTTTACTGTCCAGTTTGGGTCCAATGAGTTTCGCTGTTTGCCAGTACAACCGAGTTGTATTTCGTCATTTCCGTAGTTATTTGACTGGTCCTCCTGGTCTCCCACATTGTCCGGACATTCCATATACCTATAAAAATTGTTGCTCCAATTGTTAGAAGTGCCATCAGCCTCATGACTTTCAAAGAATTTCGGTTTTCATCATGAAGTGTCATAATTGTTCGTTCGACTGTGAGAGTAGAGTTTAATTTGTTTATTCTGGTTAGCGTTGTTTAGCAAGGTCTTAGCTTTAGACATTCAGTATCCCTAGAAGAGCTACAGACTGAGTTTTACTGTATTTTGACAAACTATTGTTCCATAATTTATTATTAATGTGTTATACGTGCGACTAAGCCCTTAACACAATGTTTGTTTGAATTATTCACTTTCATGTCATAGGATCAATAGTTATAATCTCATTTTTCCCCAAACTCCTTTTGGTGGTTATAAAATGTCTGGA